GGTACATGACTTTCTCCTGGACCAGCTGAGCTTTCTGTTGAGAGACTCGATAACCACTTAAACCTAAGACATTTAAGAGATATATTGTCCACTGAATGCAGTCCTCTTTTGTTTCAGTTGCTATCAGGAGATCATCCACATATTGCAGAAGAATGCCATCTCCCTGTGGCTGTTGCCATAGTTCTAGCTCTCTGGTCAACTCTTTACCAAAAAGTGTGGGACTATTCTTAAAACCCTGAGGCAAAACTGTCCAAGTAATTTGCATTTTTCTCCCTCTGTTAACAGACTCCCATTCAAAAGCAAAGATCTTTTGGTTTTCCTGTGCTAGGGGTAGACAGGAAAAGGCATCTTTTAAATCTAACACTGTAAACAAAATCAAATTATCCCTTAATTTAGTTAAAAGTCTATAAGGATTTGCTACAACAGGATGTATAGTCTTAGCTATTTCATTTACTGCTCTTAAATCTTGTACTAACCTGTAGGTCCCATTTGGTTTCTTGACTGGAAGAACTGGAGTGTTAAAGTCTGATTCACACTCTATCAACAGCCCTAATTTCAAAAAGTTTTCAATTATTGGTTCCTTTCCTATCTTCTAGCATCAGTGGATATTGTTTCTTAGCCACTGGTTTAGCTCCTGGTTTTAGTTCTATTTGAATAGGAGTTGCCCATTTTGACTTACCTGGTATGTCAGTGGCCCACACCAGGGGGTATACCTGATTTGTAATTTGGTCATTGCCTTTCTTGTTTGATTTTGGTTCTATGCAACTCATAGCTAAACTCAGAGTTGCCAATAATTGTTCTTCCTTTACTTTGAATTCAATCTTACCTTGTTTAAATTCTATTATAGCTCCCAGATTTTCTAATAAGTCTCTGCCCAATAAGGGTTTGGGTGAATTTGGTAAATGCAAAAAGTGATGCACTCTCATTTGTTTCCCAATTTTAAATTTTAGGGGTTTCAAAAAGAAAGTCTTTTCTGATTGACCAGTGACACCAACAACTTGTACATAGTAGCTCCAGTGTTGATTAAAAGATCCAGTTTTTTTTCTTCTTCCCCTAGTCGAATTGTAACCAGCGGGTCTGCTAGGGATAAACCAACTGGTCCTCTTCATTCACTACCCTGGTGGGCTATGACAGTCCCTCCTGTATTTCTATTTGCCCAGTTAGGACACTCTCTCTTCCAGTGTCCCTCTTGCCTACAATAGGCACATTGATTTTGACCCATCTCTGTTTGTTTGAGGGGCAAACCTCCCCTCCCCCATGTTGCCTGTCCTTGGTCATGACCCCTGTAATACTGTCCTGCTGTTGTTGGATTCTGAGTTAAGGTTGCAACCACCCTTGTGAATCTTCTATCTTCCCTTTTCTCTCTGTTGTACACTTTCCAAGCTTCATTCATCAACACCTCTAAATCTTTATTGGCAGGGTGTTGTATTTTCTGCAACCTTTTTCTAATATCAGGATTACATTGTCCCATTAATAACCCCACCAAATGTAGTTTACCTTCTTTTGATGATGGATCTAGGGTAGTGTGTTTTCTCATGGCAACTCTCAGTCTATTCAAAAATTCTGTGGGGGTTTTATCTCGTCCCTGCCTTATGTCATACAAAGCTGCCCAATTTACTGCTTTAGGTATAGCATTTTGTAATCCCACCTTAACTGTCTATATTTGACCAGCAACCTATAATGGTCTGGGTTGTTTGGGTCCCAATTAGGTTGTTGCAATGGAAAAATTTGATCTATATTCCCTGTTAAGGCTCCCATTGCAATCTGTCCTTCTACTTCTCGTCTGGTTGTTTTTATTACCCGTTCTTTTTCCATTTCTGTCAACTCTGATAACATCAAATCAATATCTGTCCAATCAATATCCTGATTTTTTGCAATTAATTCAAATCTCTTCACCACTTTCTCAGGATTTTCCCTAAAACACTGAACTTCTTCCCTCCAGCTATTCAAATCACTCGCTGAAAAGGGTGCTTTCACTTTTGTCTGAGTACCTGTAGATGTCATTACCTGGCGCAGGGGTACCAGTGTGTGGCTCATCTCTGCTGTTTGGGCTCTTGTCCTGACCCCAGTCTTGCTCTTAACTTTCTTTCCCACAGTCCGACTGCGATGGGTGCTACTCACTCCTTCCTCTGGGTCCTCTATACTCTCCACTATACTCCTAGAGTTCTCTGCCCCTAGTCCTGACTCCTGCAGGCTGCTTGGTCCTTGCCTAGCTGGTTCTGGTCCTCTAAAATGTGTCAACTGCAGTTCCTGAGGGTCCAGGATACTTTCCTCATCACTTTATCTTTTTCCCAGCTTAAAACACCTCTGACCTATACTACATGCATCACAGCAATGCTTTCTCAACTTACTATTTTTCTGATTCCTTTCCAATGCCAACACAAGGGGGTCTTGGGGGGCTACATTAATTCCACAACTTTTCTGCCACTCTGGTTTGCTTTTTTGGAGTGAAAAACATGTCAGCATACATCACTTCATCCCACTTTTGTTCTCTGTGGAGGAATAACATAAGCTGCAGGATTGTATTATAATTAATACTCCCCTGAGGGGGTCATTTTTCGCCATCATCTAAAGTATACAAGGGTCACCAGTTTTGGCAATATTTTAAAAGGGTCTTTTTACTCATATTTCCCCCGGGAGTTCCTCCCAGATCTTTCCAGTGCCTCAATATGCACCCCACGGGAGTCTTGGAATTAATCTCCTTACTTACTTTGACTCTCATTGTGAAAATAGACGATTAAATATAAAATATCCTAACAACTACAACTATTATACTCCAAACAATATTCACCTCTCAAATCTAAATACTGTTTTTCGACAAAAACATCCTAAATTCACTAGTTTTACAACCAACTTGCACTAATACAAAAATCCACAAGATGTCACCCTTAGACTACAAATATGCCTGGCTTCTACAATAAGCCTGTATATCTACAAAAATCCGCAAGATGCCGCTGTTGACCACCAAATGCACATTCTATAACAAATCTGAACACTTTTAAGACACCAAAATCCAAAACACATTCTATGGCCCTGAATCTTTCGAAAGAAACACTTGCCTATGAGTTCTGCAACAGTAATATTGGGCACACCTAGTTTCCTCCAAAGTTTGATTAGCTCCACATCTAATACAATATAAATTTAAAGTCCAATCTAATCTTATTTCCTGGGTAGATCAGGGTCCAAGAATGTATTTCAAACAATTATTACATAAAGCATGCACATACAACGAACAATTGCAAAATGGACAGATCTTAATTCTAGGTTTCAGGTTATGTGGTGTATTCACAGTCAAACTCTCAGACTCCCTCCCCATACAAATTTAACAAGATGTTTCTATGGTTGGTTTAGAACGGACAAACACTTCAGGAGTTCGATTTTGCTTCCAACACAGAGTAAGAAAACACAAAATTAGCAAAGCAACATAAAACATACAAAATACTATGACAACTGCTATTTTCCAGGAATACATAATAGGCACCTTAAAGCATAGACAAAAGAACAACCAAAATAAAACTTAGGTGCCTTGTTTTCCCCGAAATAAACAATATTTGGCCAAATACAGTCAAAACCAGAACATACCAACCCAGAGGGGATATTCCTCAGGAAGAGCATCCTCTCCTGTATCCCTGTGAGAGACGGCATCCTGGGAATCCAGAACCAGAATAGACAAAACTAGAAACCAGATATAAATACCTTTTATCACTAGGCAGCGTTCTTGTCCAGTCCCCGCAAGAAGCCACCAAAGAAGGGAGACCCTTCGGGTGAAGCAAGGCAAGGTCTAGAGAGCAAATGTAATATAGCAATATGAAAAGTAGAGAGTTAAATTCAGAATATAGGCTTTAAGCAAAAGCACAAAGGATGTGGTCTTAGAAACAGCAGAGGCCATAATTCATTAAAGAATGCAGGACACATTGACACAGAATAACAGAGGCATATGTACACAGGAAAACAGAAAGAACTAAAACAGAAAGAACTCCAGTTAAGAGTGCAAGAAGAGGCCAGACACAGAGCGAGTTGTATTAGATGTGGTGACCCTGACCACTTTCAAAGAGATTGTCCTTGGAGACCCTTAGCAGCAAAGTCCCACAAGTACCTAAACAGCAGGGAATGGACTGAGTTGTACCAAGGGTGCCGTGGGCGAGGCAGAGGTCACACCATGAGCATAGCACTGCTTGCTGCAGTGTTGCTCACCATCCTTCTCTTTGCCACCCACTTTCACGAGCAAGAGAGGAAGCAGCTTGAGGCAAGCCACAATGTGCCAACAACCAGCCCCAAAAATACCCCTGTATTCTGCACCCCCAAGAAAAGTGAGGGGTGGAGGATGCTGCAAATGTTAAAAGCAGTAAATGCAGTCATAGAACCAATGGAAGCGTTGCAGCCAGGACTGCCCTCAACCGCTATGCTCCCAGCAAATTGACCACTAGTGGTAATTGATTTAAAGGACTGTTTCTTTACCATCTTCCTATACCCTGAGGATGTGCCAAGGTTTACCTTTTCCATCATGGCCTTGAACAATGCACAACCCGTGCAAAGCTATTGCTGGGTTGTCCTTCCTCAGGGGATGCAAAACAGCCCGATGAGAAATCAAACAGCTATCATACACCATCATGTAGATGACATATTAATAACCACGGCCACAAGAAATGAACTGCCATTTGTTATTACTGCTCTAATCAAAGATGTCCAAGATGCAGGGTTACAGGTTGCTCCAGAGAAGATCCAGCGATCACAACCCTGGACTTACCTTGGATGGGAAATCACACAGCAAGAAACTTCTCCACAACCACTGCAACTCGAGGTAAAAAACACTTTACATGAGTTGTACAAACTTCTGGGAGCCATCAACTGGTTAAGGCCTATTTTAGGCATAACCACCAAGGAGCTACACCCTCTATTTGAGTTGTTTAAGGGGAACTCCAACCTAACGTCTAACACGTCTCTGAGGCAAAGGAGGCGTTAGACATTCATACCAGGGCAATAGAAAGCAGACAAGGCAGAAGGAGAAATCCTGAACTGCAAATCTGCCTAGCCCTTGTTCCCAGCAGGTAGCAGCCATTTGCAGTTTTGTTTCAGCGGGATCAGACTAAGACCCACTGCTAATTCTGGAGTGACTGTTTCTGCCCCATACACCACCTAAAACTGTGTGAAATACTAATGAAATGTTTGCCTAGCTTGTCATTAAAGGCAGAAGACAATTACAAGAACTGGACGGAGGAACCCTACCACCATCTTCACCCCAACTGCAAAGGACAACTTCGATTGGATGCTAACTGAGGACGCAGGATTCCAGGCTACCCTGGCAGGTTTTGACGGTGATATTTCAATCCATCTCCCTAAACACAGATTGTGGGTAGAAATTGGTAGTTTACCTTTAAAAACCACAACCAGATGCAAACATGAACCAGTGAAAGGCCTCACGGTTTTCACAGATGCATCTGGAAAAACACATTTCTCTTGTCTTTGTTTCTACAACATGAAAAACTGCAATGAGTTGGGTAAAACCCTGTCACAGGACAATGGGAACAAGAGGTACAGACCATGAACCAAGGTTCTGTACAGGTTCTGGAACTGGCTGCCATTCGTATTGCCTTAGGGAAGTTTTCTGATCAACCTATTAATATGTAATTGATTCCTGTTATACTGCATAGTTAGTCTCCCATCTTGAGAGTTCGTTTCCTCAGGATATCGTTAACCCTCACCTGTTGTTTGAAATGCATTCTATTTGGTTTCTTGTCAGTCATAGAAGGTTTGATTTCTATATAATGCACACAAGATCACACACTGACATGCCAGGGTCAATAGCTGACGGAAACCGAGAAGCTGACAAAGTAGCTATGTTTAACACCATACCTAGAGTCTTAGAGCAAGTGAAATTGTCTCACTCATTTTTCCATCAGAACACGTGTTCTCTGAAGAGACAATTTCAAATAACACTCAGTCAGGCTCAAGACATCATCATGTCATGCCCAGACTGTCAGAAAATCACACCCATGCCATCTCAGGAAGGTGTTAACCCCAGAGAGTTAATGGCAAATGAGATTTGGCAAACAGATATCACACACATCTCTGTGTGTAAAATATGTACATGTAGATACACATTCCCAATACATAACTGCCACAGCACCCACTGGAGAAAAGACCAAGAGTGTAAAAACACACTGGCTTAGTTGCTTCGCAACCCTGAGTACCCCAAATCAAATAAAAACTGACAATAAAACAGCTTCACTTCCTATCAAATAGGGAAACTTCACACATCACAGGTATTCTGCACTCATCCATTGGACAAGCAATTATTGAAAGGGTACATTACATACTGAAAGACATGTTAGATAAACAAAAGAAAGGGGGAATCTGTGTAACCTGCAAGAGCATCTGTGGAAAGCCACGTATATTATCAATTTTTCAAATTGTGACAGCACTAAAGGAAGCAGGTACGAAAAGTAGCACAAGCTTCAGGCTCTCGCCTCTCCCAAACCACCGGTCATGGTAAGAGACTTGATTTCAGGGCAGTGGACGAGACCATTAGATCTCATGACTTGGAGACGAGGCTACGCCTGTGTGGTTACAGGAAAAGAGTTTAAATGAATTCCTTCCAGATGTGTTAGACCCTGTTTAGGTACACAACCACAGCAGCAAGAACCAGAGTAATGCAGAAGTTATAAAAGAGTTATGTTTATGTTTCAGGTTTACATTCAGGGACGACCAGTGTGGCAAAAAGCAGTCTGTAAAAAATCTGTGAATGTGTGTGTGATGAATGGAATGACAGTCATCAATGAATGAGAGCATGAATGAATAAGAGAGTTGTTTGACTGGACAAGTGTATTGAAAACAAAACACCTCACAAAATAAGACTACCTCCGCCACATGGTCACTTTAGGAGAATTTAGTTTGCTAAGCTTAGCCTGTTTCTTAAATAAAGTTGAACTCCCCAGTTATTTAAAACCCTCAGATTAATAAAGATTATAAGTTTGCACGGTTGAACTAAGGTCTTTAGGTTAATAAAGTTATTTCTCCAAGTTGCACTACCCTTTAGGAATATAAGAAAGTTTTATAAAGTTTATCATAGATGTATAAGAGGCCAAAGTAAGTGATGTGTTGGGTCATTGCAAGCTTTGGTAGTTTACAATGTACTGTTCTGATTGTTTGCATTATTGTTGTTGCACTGTTTTCGTGACCTTCTTAAATAGTAAAGAAGGGGGTAATGTAGGGGGGGTGTCCCAGGGGCAGAGAAATCAAGGGACACGCGCAGGGACAGACAACCCCATTGGATAGAAGGTCACATGGTCTTGGGAGATAAAATAGGGCGCGAATTCAAATAAAGCCTCTTTGTTTTCTACCTCAGAAAAGCGTGCATCATTCTTTATCATATAAAGACCCTCCATACTACAAACACCTATCACTACTGAACTTATACCTGGAGCAAGACCAGTGATGAGGAAACAATACCCACTGAAGTTAGAAGATAGAAAAGGAATTGAGTCAATAATTAGAAAATTTTTAGAAATGGGGTTATTAATAGAGTGTGAATCAGACTATAACACACCAATCTTGCCGGTTAAGAAACCAAATGGGACTTATAGGTTAGTTCAAGATTTAAGAACCATAAATGCAATAACAAAGACACTACATCCAGTGGTAGCCAACCCTTATACACTTCTAACTAAATTGAAAGACAATTTAATTTGGTTCACAGTGCTAGATCTAAAAGATGCATTCTTCTGCCTTCCCTTAGCCCCGGAAAGCCAAAAGATCTTTGCCTTTGAATGGGAATCTGTTAGCAAAGGGAGGAAGACTCAATTAACCTGGACAGTGTTACCTCAGGGCTATAAAAATAGTCCAACAATTTTTGGAAACCAATTAACTAAAGAGTTAGAACAATGGGAAAGGTCACAGGGAGATGGTACTCTTCTACAATACGTAGATCATCTACTAATAGCAACTGAGACAGAAGAAGAGTTTGTTAAATGGACAATTTCTCTGTTGAATTTCCTGGATTTAAGCGGATATCGAGTCTCTCAACAGAAAGTACAGTTGGTGCAAGAAAAGGTAGTATACCTGGGATATGAAATTTCCAGAGGACAACAATCCCTAGGAATGGCAAGAAAAGAAACCATCTGCCAGATGCCTAGACCAGAAATGGTGAGAGATCTGCGAGTCTTTCTGGGAATGACAGGTTGGTGCCATTTATGGATCTATCAATATGGGATACTCACTAAACCACTGTATGATTTATTGAAAGAGACTAAGAGTGTCTTAGTCTGGACTCCTGAAGCAGAAGGAACTTTTAAGAGACTGAAACAAGAACTCGTGAAAGCCCCAGCATTGGGTCTGCCCGATGTAACAAGACCATTTTGGCTGTTCTCTCATGAACGGCAAGGGATGGTTTTAGGAGTCTTAGTGTTGCCGTGGGATTTATGGTGCTGAAAAAATCTCCCGGAGCAGTTAATTAGGGGTGAGATAAGAAAGAGTTTATTATGCCAAGGCAGTAGATGTTACAAGAAGCGCGCCCCTGTGCCCGAGAGGTTACATTTTATAATACCATCCATCCAATCCCAGATGTGTCCACCCTGTGGTCTTTACTCTGGACCGCCCCGGGTCCACCCCCGAGAAATGGGTCTGGGGTGCATTTTGAGGACCACCTACTTCATCACCTTCACCATCATCAGAGCACAAAGGGTACATAGTTACCTAATTCTTGACCGTATTCTGTGGTTTAGGTCCTGATATGCTGTTCTGCCAACAATCTAGGCCTTGCCTTGACAAAAGACTAAACATTTCTGCTGTATTCAGGGGTAGGAGTGATATAGGCAGCATAGAATGGGGTAAGAGGGTTAAGGAATGTGTAAACAAGGGTGCTACAGGGAAAGGGATAAGGGACAAGGGACAAAGGAGGGAGGGTTGCTGCTTTTAGAATCTACTTATAAAACTTATAAGGTTTACCAATATTAGAAAAATAAAAAAACCATTAGGGGTTTAAGGCATCATTAGCACAACCATATAAAAGAGTCGTAACTTATTTCTCCAAACAACTGGATGAAGTAAGCAAAGGATGACCCAGTTGTCTGAAAGCAGTGGTTGCAGTAATCATAAATATAGAAGAGGCCAGAAAACTCACATTGGGACGGAAAATGACTGTGTTAGTGTCCCACACTGTGTCTGCAGTACTTGAGCAGAAGGGTGACCATTGGTTGTCACCTTCTAGATTCCTAAAGTACAGGGCGATCCTAGCCGAGTCAGATGATATAACCATTCAAGTCACTAACATTGTGAATTCAGTCTCATTTCTAGAAGGAAGAATGCCAGCAGAACCAGTCAATCATGACTGCCTGGAGACCATCAAAGCAGTCTACTCCAGCCGCCCAGACCTCAAAGAAGAACCGTTTGAAGATGCAGACAGCTGGTTCTCCGATGGCAGCAGTTTCGTGAAAGAAGGAGTAAGGATGGCAGGCTATGCAGTAACCACAGTGGAAGAGGTAATCGAATCAAATCCTTTATCTGCCGGGACTTCAGCCCAGAAGGCAGAACTGATAGCTCTTACCCGAGCTCTGGAACTGGCAGAAGGCATACAAATTAATATTTGGACTGACTCTAAGTATGCCTTCTCCGTTGTACACACTCATGGAGCAATCTGGAAAGAAAGAGGACTGCTAACTGCCCAAGGGAAAACCGTCAAACATGCAGAGGAAATTCTACAATTATTAGAAGTAGTCCAACTCCCAGCACAAGTGGCCATAATGCATTGTAAGGGACACCTGAAAGGTAACACTGTTCCGGAAATAGGGAATAGGAAAGCTGATGCAGAAGCTAAATTAGCTGCTGCAAGGACTGAGGAAGTGACCATAACAGCTTTAGTACCAGGGGAACTAGATACTAACTTTCAACCAAACTATCAAGAATCAGATCATAGGTGGATTCAAAGAAATAAAGGCAAATTGTTAGACAATGGATGGGGTCAGTTAGAAACAGGACAACTAATAATACCAAGGAAATTAATGAGGCAATTTGTAA